CAAACACAAATAAACTAAAAATTGTCCAACACAATTAGTTAATTATCTAATTGTTTAGAAAAAATTAAAATAATTTTATTAATTCAATATAAAAAATTAAAAAATTATTTAAATTTGATTCTTATTCGATTCTTTGGTTCTTGATCTAGAATTGTTCTAGAATCGAGAATCGAACCAAACATATCGGTTGTCGATTCAAATACCCGTTCGAGTATTTAATTTATGAAGAACCGTTCGGATCGGTTCACTTGGATTCGGTCCGGTTCGATCCGAGAGTTTTATCCAGCCCTAAATGATGCTATCTAAACCGGTCTATGTGACGTATAATTGAAAGTAAAATTATATGATTCATTTAATTATACGTTTCAATTAATGATATTTAGGTACTACCTAGACTGATAGTGTAATATCAGTGGTAATAAATAACACTACTTTTTTCTTGAACCACTCAAGTCTAATTGAATCAGTTTAGTTCGATTCTATAATTTTATATTTTAAAGTCGAGGGTTCAACAATTGGAGGTTTCATCCCCTATTTCTAAGTACAAAATTGAATTTTAATTCTTTCGATTAAATTAGTTTCAGAGCTTGTTTGGCAACATTTTTTCTCCAAATTAAAAGTAATTTCTGGATCGTTGCTGAGCTGAAGTGTGAGAGAAAGGTCAACAATTGCGATTGGCAACGACAAGAAAATGGATTAAAATTTGGGAAAAAAGCAGAAACAAACAGGGGCTCAATGAATTTTTCATGAAGCAAATTTATAAAAGTCAACAATGAAGGAGTTGGTAAAGCCATTGTGGAAATTTTCAATTTTTGGTGTTGCTTAGTTTGATTCATCTTCATTAAGATGATATGAAAATTATGTAAAGTTATGTTGAAAGATTTTCAAATAATGTTAATTTTGACATTATAAGATGCATTATAGAGTTTGCACGAATCATTGTATCATCTTGGAAAAGCTTTCGGTGGTGAAATACGTAGTGGGCCAATTGAGATAGTAACAAACCAACAAATGAACGAGAAACCAGCTTGCCTAGTAGCGACATATATGCTTATTTCTTTTTTCACACGAATTAAGAAAAACTCTTTAATGTCATTGAAAAATTAATTTTTTTTCAAGATCTTTCCTGATTTATCCATATTTAATTTTTAGTAAGTAAAACTAAATTATTGTTGGAATTAATAAAGAATTTGAAGAAAAAGAAGAAATGAGAGTTGTTCTATGTTTGCAAGAAGTGAGAAATGTGTGTATTTGGATTATTTCAAGAAGTTGGCAAATTAAGTGGGAAAAATTTAATAAGGGTATATTAGTAAATGAACACAATAAAATATTCTATATTAGGAAACATGCCTATATATTTGGGACGTGAAAAAATAAACCCAGCCTATATAATTGGGATGGAGGAGTATACGATTTCAAAATTTATAAACAAATTCAGTTCCGCTTATGTTGTAAAACCTAAGCATAAACAACTTGGCATTTTAGTTATACGTTTCCACCTTCAAATTTAGAGTTTGTTTGAGCCCTTTTTTTAATCAAAATATATTTGGAATAGTGATTTGATAGAGAAAGTCTGGTTAAAAAAATAAGTAAAATTTTAAATTTACATGTAACATTAATATATTGAAAAATATGTAGTTGAAAATAAGAGAGAAAAAAAATATATTTCAATGTTTTCAAGTAATTATTTTACACAAAAATTTAATGTTTATCCACCAAAAGGAAATTAAGGTACACAGTGGGTCGTAGTCAATTATTCCACTAAGTAAAGAAAACCAGATGAATCATAATTTAGGATAAAAAGGTAATTAAATCTTTATTTAATTTTGGTTTTTTTGAAAATTATTATATATAATACATTATCATTAAAATAATTTTACACGTCATACATTCTTCATAAAAATCACTTATCATAAAATCACTTTCAAGAAATCAAAATAAAAAAAGCACTAAAATTATTAGAAAAGCAATTAAAGAACGTTATTAGAAAGTTGATTAGCCATAATTGGACCTATATTAAAAGCAATCATGCTACTCGTACAGGTGAGGGTTCACGAGGGGTGGTTTTGTTGACAGACACTTACAAATGCAGGGGGGTGGGCAGGTGGGGTTTTTTTTTAATTAAAAGTGGCGTCCGCAATCATGGATGAAATGTACATGCATTCGTCTTAAAATTTTCAATCATACTACGTTGATAGAAAGTTGACATAAAATTACGTGATATTTTTATTATTGAACTATTTAAAACACGATCAACTTTTTCATCCAATCATCTTCTGTTACTACTTCATCCGTCAATTCTTTTTAGCAAAGTGCCATAAAATTTTCTCATTAACCCGTTGATGATGTACATATCCAGTCATGAAAAATTGCATCATTTTATTTTGAATAATGCTATCTAACATCAATCTATGTCACTTCTCTACTAAATTTTGTTAGAGTTGCATAATTAGTAATTGATGACGACTAGTGTTCAAATAACCGTTAGGTTGTCATTTGTCACGTGACCCAAATGTGTATACTTTACTTCCACGGTTTGGAATTGAGATAAGTTTTTTGTGAGGATTCCGCTATAATCTAACAAATGTTTGGATAAGTCTAACTTACTCACTTCAAATATGGATTCCACGATTACTAACTTTACGATGCGTTAACCTAATATCAAATTAGTGGATGACGTTCACGTTTGTTTCACATGGAAAATCACTAGTCGACGGTCGAAAATAAGATGGATAATGTGGTTGGTTCGATTTCAAAGATCAAATAAGGTGATTTATTGCTGTAACTTAATAAAATTTTATTAGATTTAGATAATTTTTTTTAGGTAGTGAGAATGTCTGCTTAATGTTTATAAAGGGAACCATGCATCATATACAGAAGCATGGTTCTATAGAACACCACCGGATACACACAATGCAGGGTGGTTGGGTGGGTCTTTCTTCATTTTTAATTCCGGTGGGCCTCACACATGTGAATGGGTGTAAATCATATGTGAAAAAAATTTATGCACATATGGTTTTTCCCTTATAAAGGAGACGGGGAAGGAGATCTTGAAATGACATAGACTTGTTTTGAACTTCAAATCCGCTAGAATATTGTGTACGAAAATTGAAACTTGTAATCAGTCTGGCCTATGTTACAGTTGATTATGAAATCTTATATTGAGTTAATTTCAATTGATTACGCTACTTGAAACTTTTACGTACTTGTTTAGTAATTACCTTGGTTCAAACTCGAACTTCTTGTTCTAAACTCACAGATTGTTTCTCGGACTCAATTTTGATCTCGAAATCTTTTCTTTTCTTTTTGGAATATGCTTAGTGTACATTGTTGTTGATAACATGCCCGTCGCATATTGTCATTGAACAATTTAAAAAAAGTCACGTGACATGTTGTTATTGAACAGTTAAAAAAATAATTTATCTTTTCAACCAATATTTTTTTGCCACTAATAATATTGTAGCAAAACATTGTATAAATAGATGTTTTAGGGAAAATTGCAACCGCGATCTCAAACCTTTGCATTTGTCGCAAACTTTACCTAAACTTTCACTTTATACCACCATAGGTGATAAACCTTTGATAAATTCGTAGCGGGAGTCCAAATTGATGGAATCCATCCACTTTTCCGTTAGTTAACCAAGAAAAAAGTATTTTGACCATATTTTAACTATTTTAAAGGGGTAGAATAGTAACTTTACATTTTTTATATAACACATTCAAAATATTAATAATAATAAAAAACAAACCACGACCTGTATCAATCATCACCATTACCACCACCACAACGTCCACAAATCTATCATCTCCTCCACCTATATTAATAGTCTATGCATTAAAATCTTTCTTAGAAGATTCGTCCAAGGATTGTGAGGCCTTCCGCCTGCCACTCACTCAGGGCCGAGCCAGGAATGTGTCGTATGAAGGTCAAAAAATTTTAAAATTGAATGTACGAATAAAATTTATATATTACTAGAAAATTGTAATATAACATTACATATTAAAATTGTACCAGACGAT